GCATTCTGGATGGACTGGTTACCTTATGCTACACTCCAAAGTTTCTATTCATAATTCTGGGATAGAACGTATAGGCCTAGGCGATGCTGTTGGTTCATGATTGTGCAGGGCGGCTAACAGAGTTAGCCTACAATAGTGAATTTGTATTTGATTTTGAATAGCCTAGTAATAGGGCATTTTTTATAATTAATAGGGTGACACATTAGGCTACAGAATATCTCGCCACCATGTGTTTCCATCTCCTCCCCTTTCTCCTTCATTACTTTCTCAAGCATGCAGAGAGAGGAGCTGTCAACAGTTTAATGAAATGCACTATATATACAAAAGTATGTGGACATCCCTTCAAATTAATGGATTCTGCTATGTCAGCCACACCCATTGTTGACAGGTGTATAAAATCGAGCACACAGCCATGCAATCTCCATAGACGAGAACACTACCTGCCCGAATGCATAGTGCCAACTGTAAAGTTTGGTGGAGGAGGAATAATGGTCTGGGGCTGTTTTGGTTCGGGCTAGGCCCCTTAGTTCCAGTAAAGGGAAATCATGCTACAGCATACAATGACATTCTAGACGATTCTGTGCTTCCAACTTTGTAGCAACAGTTTGGGGAAGGCCCTTTCCTGTTTCAGCATGACAAGGCCACTGTGCACAAAGCGAGGTCCATACAGAAATGGTTTGTCGAGATCGGTGTGGAAGAACTTAACTGGCCTGCACAGAGCCCTGACCTCAACCCCATTGAACGCCTTTGGGATGAATTGGAATGCCGACTGTCAGCCAGGCCTCATCACCCAACATCAGTGCCCAACCTCACTAATGCTATTGTGGCTGAATGGAAGCAAGTCCCCGAAGCAATGTTCCAACATTTAGTGGAATGCATTCCCAGAAGAGTGGAGGCTGTTATAGCAGAAAAAGGGGGACCAACTCCATATTAATGCCCATGATTTTGGAGTAAGATGTTCGACGAGAAGGTGTCCACATATTTTTGGTAATGTAGTATATATTTTGTTGTGGAAACATGTTACTTTTGATGTTCCCGAACAGATTTCACTTGGTTGTAGCTGCAGGAACAGTGTTGGGGAGCCCATGGCATACAGAGTTTGGGTGGAATAGCACCTAATATGATCACTTGAGGAGAGAACAGTTTGTGCAGCCTGAGGCATGGAACAGAGACAAACTTTTTTTTGCGACCTTCTCAAATCATTAATAGCTTATAGTCACACCATGCAGCCCATACATTTTTTGATTTCTAAGACATTCTAAAGTTTGTATCATTAACATCTAAAGTTGCCAAGTAACTATAAATCTAGCGTAGCCTATAGGATCTGTTTCAAATGATCACTTTTATGCTCAACATAGCCTTAACATGTGCACTCGCTCTGGAATGGGAAGAATATCCTTTCTATTTTATTCAGCTAAGTTCAATTATAGTCTTCTTACTATAAAATAATAAAATATAAAATAATGACACGGGACTTATAAGCATATTTGACTGCTAAATGAACAAGCCTACAGCCTATGGCATGCAGCATAGCCAGATAACATACAGTAATAGGCCAATTTATATTCTGTTAATCTGAAATACATTTTCTTCATATCATAATGTTTCTTTAGACCTACCTAAAATAAATAATGTATTTATTGTTATGGTGTACATTAAATTGATTCTTTAGACTTGTAGATGTTCCAAAGGCATGCATCAGCAGCTTGTATGTGTTGAGGCCTGGAGATGCTAAACGTGTTTATGTTAATTAACAGTCAAATACAGTGAGACCGGCAGTCTTTTGCATGACAATAATGTGCTGACAAAATTTCATGACCGCCACAGCCCTAGTTCCAATATGTAGTCCCGTGTAGCTCAGTTGGTAGAGGATGGCGTTTGCAACGTCAGGGTTGTGGGTTCGATTCCCAAGCGGGGCCAGTATGAAAACGTATGCACTCACTAACTGTAAGTAGCTCTGGATAACAGTGTCTGGTAAATGTACAGTGAGGGAAATAAGTATTTGATCCCCTGCTGATTTTGTACGTTTGCCCACTGACAAAGACATGATCAGTCTATAATTTTAATGGTAGGTTTATTTGAACAGTGAGAGACAGAATAACAACAAAAAAATCCAGAAAAACGCATGTCAAAAATGTTATAAATTGATTTGCATTTTAATGAGGGAAATAAGTATTTGACCCCTCTGCAAAACATTACTTAGTACTTGGTGGCAAAACCCTTGTTGGCAATCACAGAGGTCAGACATTTCTTGTAGTTGGCCACCAGGTTTGCACACATCTCAGGAGGGATTTTGTTCCACTCCTCTTTGCAGATCTTCTCCAAGTCATTAAGGTTTCGAGGCTGACGTTTGGCAACTCGAACCTTCAGCTCCCTCCACAGATTTTCTATGGGATTATGGTCTGGAGACTGGCTAGGCCACTCCAGGACCTTAATGTGCTTCTTTTTGAGCCACTCCTTTGTTGCCTTGGCCGTGTGTTTTGGGTCATTGTCATGCTGGAATACCCATCCACGACCCATTTTCAACGCCCTGGCTGAAGGAAGGAGGTTCTCACCCAAGATTTGATGGTACATTGCCCAGCCCATCGTCCCGTTGATGCGGTGAAGTTGTCCCGTCCCCTTAGCAGAAAAACACCCCCAAAGCATAATGTTTCCATCTCCATGTTTGATGGTGGGGATGGTGTTCTTGGGGTCATAGGCAGCATTCCTCCTCCTCCAAACACGGCGAGTTGAGTTGATGCCAAAGAGCTCGATTTTGGTCTCATCTGACCACAACACTTTTACCCAGTTCTCCTCTGAATCATTCAGATGTTCATTGGCAAACTTCAGACGGGCCTGTATATGTGCTTTCTTGAGCAGGGGGACCTAGCGGGCGCTGCAGGATTTCAGTTATTCACTGCATATTGTGTTACCAATTGTTTTCTTGGTGACTATGGTCCCAGCTGCCTTGAGATCATTGACAAGATCCTCCCGTGTAGTTCTGGGCTGATTCCTCACCGTTCTCATGATCATTGCAACTCCACGAGGTGAGATCTTGCATGGAGCCCCAGGCCAAGGGAGATTGACAGTTATTTTGTGTTTCTTCCATTTGCGAATAATCGCACCAACTGTTGTCACCAAACGTTTGACCTGTGTCATTGCCAACAAAGGGTATATAACAAAGTATTGAGAAACTTTTGTTATTGACCAAATACTTATTTTCCACCATAATTTGCAAATAAATTCATTAAAAATCCTACAATGTGATTTTCTGGATTTTTTTTTCTCATTTTGTCTGTCATAGTTGACGTGTACCTATGATGAAAATTACAGGCCTCTCTCATCTTTTTAAGTGGGAGAACTTGCACAATTGGTGGCTGACTAAATACTTTTTCCCCCCACTGTATATGCCCACAGGGAGTAATTACCGTGCATGTAAGTGTATTTAGACATAGCCTATTTCTTAAAAGTCTAAGCCGTTTTTTGACTTTATCTCAAAACAGTCCTTATGAAATTGTACAATAATTTACATTTACATTACATTTTAGTCATTTAGCAGACGCTCTTATCCAGAGCGACTTACAGTTAGTGAGTGCATACATTTTCATACATTCTCTTCTATCGTAGAGAAACAGTGCCTCCTGTGCACGACTTTCAGTAAAGTACTCTTCTTTTTTATAAAAAGGTTTGTTGGCTCATAAAGAATCACAATATACACTAACCTGATCCATAGGAGCCATGGAGTGCAGTTAAACTTGCATTGTACAATCAAGACCCTCAAAACCATGTTGAAATGTTACTTCCATGGTCTGAAACTTAAAACCTTCACCTGTTTTAATTATTGTCATTCATGAGGTTTGGAAGGGAAGCTCGTTTCAAATATCAGTCGAACTTGAACACTTTTAAGCAAAATAAACATTTATGAAATCTCTGATAAAAAAATTGTGACCAACTAGATCAAGACGGAAATGTACATGTTGGAGTACATGCCCTGTCAAGGGGGGTAATAATCACTTCGAGGAAAAATAATATTTCAAGGTGTTGTAATAAAGAAATAAACAGAACACCAAAATCTTTTTTCTCCCCTCAAAAAACAATCAAATGGATGTGTCTGTCTCTCTGGCAATACCTGATGCTTTTGTGACAGCTAACATTCCAATGCCAAACCTGATGGAGCACAGCTACTCTTGAGGGTGAAATAAATTAATAATAAATAGAATAATTATTAAATAGGTGTAGGTGTGTATTTACTGCTCCGATGCCTGTGGGGCACTTGTTGGCTGTGTTGTCTCCTGGCGGACCATGACCTGACCTGAGGCACTGCTGGGCTTGAGCCGCTGACCAGTCTTGCCACAGAACGTGCCCTGGAACTCCTGTTTGATGGAGTCCCTGTACACCTCTCTGACGTACTTGAGGAAGGCGGTGGTCCATTGCAGGGTGGTGGCTTTGTCCGTCTCGTGGTTACAGAACGGCGCCAGCACATTCAGCTCATCACAGCAGAAGCGGATCCTCCTCCTGCGGTCCCGCTCCTTGCTGTTGTGCCTCTCTCTGCGCTGGCTACTTTCCACTGGTGGCCCTCCTCTCTTCCTGGTGCCTGCTCCTCCAGCTGCTCTTCCCTCCACTGAGTTTGGGACAATGCCGAGGCCTTGACAGCACAGGGTCCACAGGTCCTACCACGTTTAGCAGGCTTCGCCACAGCATCATCTTCCACCTTCACCCAAACTTTCTCCTCTATTGGGTTGGGGCTGTTGACGCATGGATCTTTGTCAGGCATCTTGTCTGGCCGATAGCTGAATGTGAAGTTCTTTGGAATGATCAACCCTTGATGCTTATTGGGTTCAAGCATATGCGGAACCATCCCAAACCCTTGACGGGCGCCAGCGATGGGGTTGAACATGCTTCCATATGGGTATGACAGCTCAATAGGGTTGCCCCGATCTGACCTCACCCACTTCTGCGGTTGTGGATGCATTGCTGCTTCTTGCGCCTCATTGGAGTGATGAAGCATTGTCAAAAAATTGCTAAGAGCTGCTGATTGCACATCCTGTTGTCTGGGGATTGTCACAGGGGGTGCAGTTGAACCTCTTCTCCAAGCGAACTCGGGCGGGTGGGTTGGGCCTGGACAATAGCTGTGTGCTACCGTTGTTGTATGCTTCCAAGCTGCGTTCTTGGGTCGCATCCACTGCACTCCTGACTTTAGCCAACACAGAGCCGGGGACTTCACCGCAAGTGGTGGGGGTCCTTTCTCCAGGTATAACGTTCCCGTCACTGACCAATACCATTATAATTTCGTTGATGTCTCCAGATCCCTCTGGACCAGCCGCCTGTGCCTCCATGTGTGACTGGATGATGTGCTGAAGGTGGGTGTACTCCACTTCTGTCATCTCCATCAGGTTGAGCTCAGTGCCAAAATCTGGCTTTGATCATTTGGAACACAGCCGTTTTGGCTCATGATCACCTTCACAGAATCGGGGTTGTACTGCCCCAATGCAGGTGACACATGAATGGTTTTACAAGCCAAAGACTTTGACATCCTGAATAGATGGATATATTAGTCTTCAATTATAATTTCATTAAATTATCAAAATCGTCGATTTAAAACAGGCTCATGTTCAGAATTTTACCAACTGACTTTGACAGAGACCAGAGAACGGTACTGTCAGTGGCCATCTAGAAAGAATCTGAGGTGGTTAGCTGCCCCACTATCTCTATGGGCTCCCGAGTGGCGCAGCGGTCTAAGGCACTGCATCTCAGTGATTGAGGCGTCACTACAGACCCTTGGTTTGATTCCAGGCTGTATCACAACTGGCCGTGATTGGGAGTCCCATAGGGCGGCGCACAATTGGCCCAACGTCGTCCGGGTTTGGCCGGTGTAGGCTGTCATTGTAAATAAGAATTTGTTCTTAACTGACTTGCCTAGTTAAATAAAATAAAATAAAAGTTTGGCCCGAGAGAACGGTTTCCACTAGCTACAAAGTTGGCTATATCGTATAATTTATTTAAACAAATATTTGATTTTTGGTCTTAATTTAAGGTTAGGGTTAGTCATAAGGTTAGCAGTGTGGTTAAGGTTAGGGTAGAATAGGTAGAAATAGGGTTTATGACTTTGTGGCTGTGTTAACTAGTGACGACCTGAGAGAACATAGTTAATTCTCCCGTACACCAGCCCGTGAAGTGAAATCCACTTATGTTAACCAACGGCCATTTCGACAAACAATTTGGAATATGTGTTTTGGCTGACTGCAAAACGTAAATAACAAAAGTTACTAATTATCAATTTGATGGTTAAATAGGTTAGGTCCTATCATAAATATCTCAGTCAATGACTTTTTTTCAGGTAGTTAACGTTAACTAGCAAACTACCTCAAATAAAACTCTTGCCTGCTAGCTCGAGTGTTAGCTAACTAGTTATTTTCTCTCTCTCTCTCTCTCTCTCTCTCTCTCTCTCTCTCTCCTCTCTCTCTCTCTCTCTCTCTCTCTCTCTCTCTCTCCTCTCTCCTCCTCCTTCTCCTCTCTCTCTCATCTTCTCTCTTTGATCCTACTCCACATCTTTTGCATCTCTCTAGCTTGTTACTCACCACATTTTATGCAATGCAGTGCTAGCTAGCTGTAGTTTATGCTTTCAGTACTAGATTAATTATCTGATCCTTTGATTGGGTGGACAACATGTCAGTCCATGCAGCAAGAGCTCTGATAGGTTGTCATAATTACTGTGTAAGTCTTCGGAAGTTGTCATAATTACTGTGTAAGTCTATGGAAGGGGGTGAGAACGATGAGGGTTTTGTATTGAAGTCATTGTACCCAGACAAGGACAGAAGCTAGCTGTCCTCCAGCTACACCATAGTGCTACCCTACAGAGTGCTGCTGAGGCTACTGTAGAACTTCATTGCAAAACAGTGTGTTTTAATCAATTATTTGGTGACGTGAATATATTTAGTATAATTGTATCTAAAAACGCTAACTTTTTAAATGTTTAAATATTTAACTTTTTATGAAATTCAATAAGGAGGATGGTCCTCCCCTTCCTCCTCTGAGGAGCCTCCACTGATATATATATATATATATATATATATATATTTATGGCAGATGGCCACTGACAGAGGAAGGGAAGAGAAGGGAAAGGACTTTGGAAAGCAGTCACACAAATCAAATCAAATGTTATTGGTCACAAACACCAATTTAGCAGATGTTATTGCGGGTGTAGCGAAATGCTTGTGTCCCTAGCTCCAACAGTGCAGTAGTGTCTAACAATTCACAACAATACACCTATCTAAAAGTAAAACAATGGAATTAAGATATATTTAAATATTAGAATGAGTAATGTCGGAGTGCATTGACTAAATACAGTAGAATATAATACAGTATACAGTGAGGGAAAAAAGTATTTGATCCCCTGCTGATTTTGTACGTTTGCCCACTGACAAAGACATGATCAGTCTATAATTTTAATGGTAGGTTTATTTGAACAGTGAGAGACAGAATAACAACAACAAAATCCAGAAAAACGCATGTCAAAAATGTTATAAATTGATTTGCATTTTAATGAGGGAATTAAGTATTTGACCCCTCTGCAAAACATGACATAGTACTTGGTGGCAAAACCCTTGTTGGCAATCACAGAGGTCAGACGTTTCTTGTAGTTGGCCACCAGGTTTGCACACATCTCAGGAGGGATTTTGTCCCACTCCTCTTTGCAGATCTTCTCCAAGTCATTAAGGTTTTGAGCCTGACGTTTGGCAACTCGAACCTTCAGCTCCCTCCACAGATTTTCTATGGGATTAAGGTGTGGAGACTGGCTAGGCCACTCCAGGACCTTAATGTGCTTCTTCTTGAGCCACTCCTTTGTTGCCTTGGCCGTGTGTTTTGGGTCATTGTCATGCTGGAATACCCTTCCACGACCCATTTTCAATGCCCTGGCTGAGGGAAGGAGGTTCTCACCCAAGAATTGACGGTACATGGCCCCGTCCATCGTCCCTTTGATGCGGTGAAGTTGTCCTGTCCCCTTAGCAGAAAAACACCCCCAAAGCATAATGTTTCAAGCATAATGTTTCATGTTTGACGGTGGGGATGGTGTTCTTGGGGTCATAGGCAGCATTCCTCCTCCTCCAAACACGGCGAGTTGAGTTGATGGCAAAGAGCTCGATTTTGGTCTCATCTGACCACAACACTTTCACCCAGTTCTCCTCTGAATCATTCAGATATTCATTAGCAAACTTCAGACTGGCCTGTATATGTGCTTTCTTGAGCAGGGGGACATTGCAGGCGCTGCAGGATTTCAGTCCTTCATGGCGTAGTGTGTTACCAATTGTTTTCTTGGTGACTATGGTCCCAGCTGCCTTGAGATCATTGACAAGATCCTCCCGTGTAGTTCTGGGCTCATTCCTCACCGTTCTCATGATCATTGCAACTCCACGAGGTGAGATCTTGCATGGAGCCCCAGGCCGAGGGAGATTGACAGTTCTTTTGTGTTTCTTCCATTTGCGAATAATCGCACCAACTGTTGTCACCTTCTCACCAAGCTGCTTGGCGATGGTGTTGTAGCCCATTCCAGCCTTGTGTAGGTCTACAATCTTGTCCCTGACATCCTTGGAAAGCTCTTTGGTTTTGAACATGGTGGAGAGTTTGGAATCTGATTGATTGCTTCTGTGGACAGGTGTCTTTTATACAGGTAACAAGCTGAGATTAGGAGCACTCCCTTTAAGAGTGTGCTCCTAATCTCAGCTCGTTACCTATATAAAAGACACCTGGGAGCCAGAAATCTTTCTGATTGAGAGGGGGTCAAATACTTATTTCCCTCATTAAAATGCAAATAAATTTATAACATTTTTGACATGCGTTTTTCTGTTTTTGTTGTTGTTATTCTGTCTCTCACTGTTCAAATAAACATACCATTAAAATTATAGACTGATAATTTCTTTGTCAGTGGGCAAACATACAAAATCAGCAGGGGATCAAATACTTTTTTCCCTCACTGTATATGTATATGAGATGAGTAAAGCAGTATGTAAATATTATTTAAGTGACTATTGTCCATTATTAATGTGGCCAGTGATTCCATGTCTATGTATATAGGGCAGCGGCCTCTAAGGTGCAGGGTTGAGTAACCGGGTGGTAGCCGGCTAGTGATGGCTATTTAACAGTCTGATGGCCTTGAGATAGAAGCTGTTTTTCAGTCTCTCGGTCACAGCTTTGATGCACCTATACTGACCTCACCTTATGGATGATAGCGGGGTGAACAGGCCATGGCTCAGTGGTTGATATCCTTAATGATCTTTTTGGCCTTCCTGTGACATCGGGTGCTATAGGTGTCCTGGAGGGCAGGCAGTGTGCCCCTGGTGATGCGTTGGACAGACCGTACCACCCTCTGGAGAGCCCTGCGATTGTGGGCAGTGCAGTTGCCGTACCAGGCGGTGATACAGCCCAACAGGATGCTCTCAATTGTGCATCTGTAAAACTTTTCTGAGGGTCTTAGGGGCCAAGACGAATTTCTTCAGCCTCCTGAGGTTGAAAAGTGCTGTTGCGCCTTCTTCACCACACTGTCTGTGTGGGTGGACCATTTCAGATTGTTAGTGATGTGTACGCCAAGGAACTTGAAGCTTTCCACCTTCTCCACTGCGGTCCGGTCGATGTGGATAGGGGCGTGCTCCCGCTGCTGTTTCCTGCAGTCCACAATCAGCTCCTTCGTTTTGTTGACGTTGAGAGAGAGGTTATTTTCCTGGCCCAACTCTGCCAGGGCCCTCACCTCCTCCCTGTAGGCTGTCTCGTCATTGTTGGTACAGGGAGTACAGGAGGGGGCTGAGCATTCACCCTTGTGGGTCCCTGTGTTGAGGATAAGCGAAGCGGAGGTGTTGTTTCCTACCTTCACCACCTGGTGGCGGCCCGTCAGGAAGTCCAGGACCCAGTTGCACAGGGCGGGGTTCAGACCCAGGGCCCGAGCTTAATGATGAGCTTGGAGGGTACTATGGTGTTGAAGGCTAAGCTATAGTCAATGAACAGCATTCTGACATAGGTATTCCTCTTGTCCAGATGGGATAGGGCAGCGTGCAGTGTGATGGCGATTGCATCGTCTGTGGATCTATTGGGGCGGTGAGCAAATTGAAGTGCGTCTAGGGTGGAAGGTAAGGTAGAGGTGATATGTCCTTAAACACTCCAGTCAGCTGGTCTGCGCATGCTCTGAGGACGCAGCTAGGGATGCCGTCTGGGCCGGCAGCCTTGGGAGGGTTAACACGCTTAAACATCTTACTCACTTCGGCCATGGAGAACGAGAGCCCACAGTCCTTGGGAGCAGGCCACGTCGATGGCACTGTGTTATCCTCAAAGCGGGTGAAGAAGGTGTTTAGCTTGTCTGGGAGCAAGATGTCGGTGTCCGCGACGTGGCTGGTTTTCCCTTTGTAATCCGTGATTGTCTGTAGACCCTGCCACACACGTCTCGTATCTGAGCCTTTGAATTGCAACTCCACTTTGTCTCTGTACTGACGTTTTGCCTGTTTGATTGATTTACGGGGGGAATAACTACACTGTTTGTATTCAACCATATTCTCAGTCACCTTTCCATAGTTAAATGCGGTGGTTCGCGCTTTCAGTTTTGCGCCAATGCTGCCATCTATCCACGGTTTCTGGTTTGGGTAGGTTATAAAAAATGTATGCGCTCACTAACTGTAAGTCGCTCTGGATAAGAGCATCTGCTAAATGACTAAAATCTAAAATCTTATAATAGTCACCGTGGGAACAACATTCCCTATACAATTCCTGATGAACTCAGTCACCGTGTTTGTGTAAGCATCAATATTATTCTCAGAGGCTACCCAGAACATATCCCAATCCGCGAGATGAAAACAATCTTGAAGCATGGATTCTGATTGGTCAGACCAGCATTGAATAGACCTTAGCATTGGTACTTCCTGTTTGAGTTTCTGCCTATAGGAAGGGAGGAGCAAAATAGAGTCGTGATCTGATTTGCCGAAAGGAGGGCAGGGGAGGGCCTTGGAGGCATTTTGAAAAGGTGAGCAGCAGTGATCTAGTGTTTTTCCTAAGAGAGTACTACAGTCAATGTGTTAATATAACTTAGGTAGCGTTTTCCTCAAATGTGCTTTGTTTCAAATCTCCAGCTACAATAAATGCGGCCTCAGGATATGTGGTTTCCATTTTGCATAAAGTCCAGTGTAGTTCCTTGAGGGCCGTCGTGGTATCGGCTTGAGGGGGAATATACACGGCTGTGACTAAAACTGAAGATAATTCTCTTGGGAGGTAATACGGTCGGCATTTCATTGTGAGGCATTCTAGATCGGGTGAACAAAAGGACTTGAGTTTACATATGTTACCACAATCACACCAGTAGTTAATCATGAAGCATACACCTCCGTCTTTCTTCTTCCTGGAGAGTTCTTTATTCCTGTCTGCGCGATGAACTGAGAACCCAGCTGGCTGTATGGATGGCGACAGTATATCCCGAGAGAGCCATGATTCCGTGAAACAGAGTATGTTACAGTCCCTGATGTCTCTGTAGAAGGAGATCCTCGCCCTGAGCTCGTCTACTTTATTGTCCAGAGACTGAACATTAGCAAATAATATACTCGGAAGCGGTGGATGGTGTGCCCGCCTCCTGAGTCGGACTAGAAGTCCACTCAGAATACCCCTTCTCCACTGGCGGCGACTTGGAGCAGCCTCTGGGATAAGTTCAGTTGCCCTGGGGGTACCAACAAAGGATCCATTTCGGGAAAGTCGTATTCCTGGTCGTAATGCTGGTGAGTTACCGCCGCCCTGATATCCAAAAGTTATATCCGGCTGTATGTAATAACACAAAAAACTTTCTGGGCTAATAAAAAAAAGAAATACTGCTAAGTTGCTTAGGAGCTAGAAGCAGAGCTGCCATGTCTGTCGGTGCCATCTTGCTCTACATCTATATATATATATATATGACTGCTTTCCAAAGCCCTTTCCCTTCTCTTCCATTCCTCTGTCTGTAGCCATCTGCTTGCAGGTCCAGCCCCACTGGCAGAAGAGACAGAGCTCTTCCATGATGTGATCTTGGTCTGGATGTGTGTGTGTGTGTGTGTGTGTGTGTGTGTGTGTGTGTGTGTGTGTGTGTGTGTGTGTGTGTGATTGTTATTAGTTGAGGAAGCTTTCATTATTGTCACACTCTGGCTCTGGGACTTTTTATGTTTAGTCAGGGTGTGTAGATTTCCGTGTGTTTTGTACTGTGTGTAGTGTCTAGGTGTTCGCGTTCTATGTTTGGTCAGTGACTCCCAATCGGAGGTAACGAGTGTCAGCTGTCGGCTCGTTATCTCTGATTGGGAGCCATATTTAAAATGTCTGTGTTCACCTTGTGGTTGTGGGTTTTTGTTCTATGTTCAGTCGGTGTACTGAGGACTTTACGGATCGTGTTTTGTTTTGTCGTGTATTCAACATTAAAGTCATCATGTTCACTCCCAACGCTGCGCTTTGGTCCTACTTCATTGGCGATCGTGACAGAAAAACCCACCACAACCAGACCAAGCAGCAGTTGGATGACGAGTGGTGGAGCCAGAAGAGCGAAGGTTGGGAGAGGACATTAGAGGCCTGGTCCACGGGGAGGAGAGACCCCCAGAAAATTTTTAGGGGGGGGCTCATGACGTCGGGGCAGCAGGAGTACGGGATTGAGGAGTGCAGAAGGTTGGCAGAGGAGGCCGCCAGGTTAAGGGGGCCACTGGTCACGAAGGGGAAGGAAGGTGTGGAGGCAGGGCGAAAGGTACTGGGGTGTGTTACCAGTCCGGTCCGGCCCGTTCCTGATCCCCGTGGAGGGCCAGGGGTGTGTGTCCCCAGTGCGGTCCTGTCTGTTCCTGCTCCCCGCACCAAGTCTGTGGTGCGTTTCGTCAGCCCTGTCCGGCCCGTGCCTGCTCCCCGCACCAAGCCAATGATGCGCGTCGCCAGCCCGGCCCGGCCTGTTCCTGCTCCCCGCACCAAGTCTGTGGTGCGTTTCGTCAGCCCTGTCCGGCCCGTGCCTGCTCTCCGCACCAAGGCTGTGGTACGTGTCGCCAGCCCGGTTCGGCCTGTTCCTGCTCCCCGGCTCAAGTCTGTGGTGCGTCTTGTCAGCCCTGTCCGGCCTGTTCCTGCTCCACGCACCAAGCCAAGGGTGCGTTTCGTCAGCCCTGTCCGGCTCGTTCCTGCTCTCCGCACCAAGTCTGTGGTGCGCGTTGCCAGCCCATTCCGGTCCGTTCCTGCTCCACGCACCAAGCCAGGGGTGTGTATCGTCAGCCCGGCCCGGTCCGTTCCTGTTCCACGCACCAAGCCAGGGGCGCGTGTCGTCAGTCCGGTTCCGGCCAGCGGGGCTAGACAGGACCAGGGGTACTTTGGGGGGTTGGAGAGGAAGTGGGGAGGAAGCCCGGAGCCGGAGCCGCCGCCGAGGAGGAATGCCCACCCAGCCCTCCCCTGTTTGCTTGTATTTAGGCGCGGTCGCAGTCCGCGCCTTTAGGGGGGGGTACTGTCACACTCTGGCTCTGGGACTTTTTATGTTTAGTCAGGGTGTGTAGATTTCCGTGTGTTTTGTACTGTGTGTAGTGTCTAGGTGTTCGCGTTCTATGTTTGGTCAGTGACTCCCAATCGGAGGTAACGAGTGTCAGCTGTCGGCTCGTTATCTCTGATTGGGAGCCATATTTAAAATGTCTGTGTTCACCTTGTGGTTGTGGGTTTTTGTTCTATGTTCAGTCGGTGTACTGAGGACTTTACGGATCGTGTTTTGTTTTGTCGTGTATTCAACATTAAAGTCATCATGTTCACTCCCAACGCTGCGCTTTGGTCCTACTTCATTGGCGATCGTGACAATTATGCTAGATTGGTCCACTAATTCCTCACTGTTTCAAAAACTTGGCCTCAGACTTAAATTTGAAAAGCATCACAAAGACCTCTTAGCTTTAAGGTGCACTATACAACATTTCTACATGCCAAACAATATTTTTTTGAGCAACCAAAAGGCTGTCTATAACCACGTTTCCATCCATAGTTTTTATGTGAGTAAAGTCATACTGTATAAAAGCAAAAAATCACTACAGCTGTGATGGAAACAGGACGTTTCGGTACAATTTTATAAATGACGAAAGATCATTTGTTAGTTCGACATGGTGGGATCTTTTTGTGTCTGTAAAATTAATAATGTGAGAAATGGCGGTGGAAACACCTGTAAGCACAAATATTGATATAATAACCATCATATTGAAATAAACTTGGAGTCACGCAATGATATGGTGTGTGGTCCTCGCCAGTGGCGGCTCCTGAAAAAATTCTCAGGGGGGGCAATTTTTCTGATGATTTAGGTGACCTACACACATTTTAAAAAAGATATGTCCAGCAACAACATGAAGACAGGGGCAGCATATAAGTCAATACCAGAAGCATTTATTGACTGATCTCAAAAGTGTTGGCTTACCAGGGTTGGTGGAGCCCTCAGTTTCATCTTTGCCCCGCAAAGCTAACTCAAACACTCCGCAAAACTTCACACACTGGATTAGCCGGCTGAGGATGTGGCGGTTCTTGCTAATGTCGTAGTAAATATATTTGTTATAGTGAATATGGAATATGATATGTTGAGTAAAATGTTGTGCTAAGATCTATTTAGGTCAGGAGCTGGTTATACGTTCTGTTCCTATCCAATAACAAAGGACAAAAGGGTCCTATCTTGTCAGCCTTGTCAGTTTCAGTTCTCCAGTAAACTTGTGATTATCAACACTAACCTCATCGTTGTGGCGGCGGACAGCTAGCCTGTATCCCTCATCCAGTTGAGTGGGAATGTTCACTCTCCCCAAAGCAGACAATCTCAAACAGCTATCCATGTGGGTCTTTGACAGCTCATGTTTCTTAATCTTTCCTGAAAGATGGTGCATGTCCGTTACACACCAGTCGCTGTCCAAGCGGTGCTGTCTGCCGTGCCGCCTTCAGGGTGAAAGAGTAAGCAGGGGGTAGCAGAAGACTGCATTAGCTACATCGCAGCCTGCTAGCCAGGATTTTCGTTCGTACCAATTTTTGGAAAATCCTCGGGTGTAGGACTTCCCCCCTTTAGTAGAAACCTGTTGAATTATTAAATTTGGTCTGGGAGGTCCTAATTGTTTCGTTGCCAATTTATCTTCATTTGTTCGCCGACAAAAAGGAACTTCTTTCAAAGACACAATCGAGTTGCACTGAAGCCTAGCCATTTTGATAGTAGTAGTGAATTGATTGACGAGGCTACCCGCTCTTTTCTTAGTTACGTTCATGGTTATGTTACGTATGACGAAAGCGCGTAAGTGCAAGCCCTCAGAAACCCATAGAGATTGTATTGAAAGCTCTGATATTTGAAAAAAATTGATTTTACATGGGAGTCTATGACAGACTTCTGGGCGATTTTCAACCTGACTGAAATCGCCCCAAAAGGGGGGGGGGGCCATTTGAAGCACGACTTTAGCCTGATTGGACATTTAGTGGCACTGTGGCAGATCAGACGTCTAGATTACAACACTGATAACTACTGTTGCCGTGATATAATTGATTAGAAAAAAAATCCCTTCCTTTTCCCGTTTGGCAGTGCGTCGCCCATATCGCCCTATTGAACACACCGCCCCTGGTCCTCGCATTACGACTCGGGAAACCATGCAGTTTATTAGGCTACAGATTCAATAAATTATGATGAACTTCACAGGGTGGTGAATGTGAACGGTGATCTTTATGATCCTTTCCAATAAATATTGATGGACTTATTCTGGTGACATGATGATCGATGCTTGACTGCCATTTGACAAATAAACATATGCTCGCTCTTATCCATAGTAATCTCATAATGTAGACTCGCCACTGGAATGGCCGTGAATGACAGCCTACTTGCAATGTATCTGTGAGCAGTTGGCTAGAGCACATGTGCCAAGATGAGAGTAGGCACATTTGCTATTTAACGCAGCAGTTTTTGTGACAAAAATATTGGTAGAGTTGAAAATGAGACAGAAACACATTGAATTTTCGATTTTTATTTGGTACATGAAAACGTAAGCGAAAAAGTACATTTTGTGTGCACTACTTCATCGCGCACTGATTTCTATCCGCAATTTTCTGGCCATGGATCCAAAATGAAATGCTACAAAAGAGGGACTTTGCAATTAATTGTAATTCATCTGATCACTCTTCATAACATTCTGGAGTATATGCAAATTGCCATCATAAAAACTGAGGCAGCAGACTTTGTGAAAATTAATATTTGTGTCATTCTCAAAACGTTTGACCACGACTGTATTGCCACCCCTATTTGCTATATCTTTAACCACAGCCTTAAGGAGTGTGTTTGTCCACAGGCATGGAAGGAAGCGTTTCGCTACACCCGCAATAACATATGCTAAATATGTGTATGCAACCAATAAAATGTGATTTGAAGTAATTCCACTGCCTAAAAATAGTAAAGCACCCATTGCTGGTTCTAACAGCTGCCCAATCGGTTTGCTGCCTGTTCTTAGTAAACTGATGAAGAGAATTGTGTTTTACCAAATGCAATGCTATTTTTCAGAGAACAAGTTAACCACTGACTTTCAGCATGCAGGGCAATCAAACTTCTACTGATTGACTCAGATGACAGATGATTAGTTAAAATAAATTGATAATAAGATGATAGTTGGAGCTGTATTGTTACAGTGAGTGAAAAAAGAATTTGATCCCCTGCTGATTTTGTACGTTTGCCCACTGACAAAGAAATGATCAGTCTATCATTTTAATGGTAGGTTTATTTAAACAGTGAGAGACAGAATAACAACAAAATTATCCAGAAAAACATATGTCAAAAATGTTATAAATTGATTTGCATTTTAATGAGGGAAATAAGTATTTGACCCCCTCTCAATCAGAAAGATTTCTGGCTCCCAGGTGTCTTTTATACAGGTAACAAGCTGAGATTAGGAGCACACTCTTAAAGGGATTGCTCCTAATCTCAGTTTAATACCTATATAAAATACACCTGTCCACAGAAGCAATCAATCAATCAGATTCCAAACGCTCCACCATGGCCAAGACCAAAAAGCTCTCCAAGGATGTCAGGGACAAGATTGTAGACCTACACAAGGCTGGAATGGGCTACAACACCATTGCCAAGCAGCTTGGTGAGAAGGTGACAACAGTTGGTGCGATTATTCGCAAATGGAAGAAACACAAAATAACAGTCAATCTCCCTCGGCCTGGGTCTCCATCCAAGATCTCACCTCGTGGAGTTGCAATGATCATGAGAACGGTGAGGAATCAGCCCAGAACTACACGGGAGGATCTTGTCAATGATCTCAAGGCAGCTGGGACCATAGTCACCAAGAAAACAATTGGTAACACACTACGCTGTGAAGGACTGAAATCCTGCAGGGCCCGCAAGGTCCCCCTGCTCAAGAAAGCACATATACAGGGCCGTCTGAAGTTTTCCAATGAACATCTGAATGATTCAGAGGAGAACTGGTTGAAAGTGTTGTGGTCAGATGAGACCAAAATCGAGCTCTTTGGCATCAACTCAACTCGCCATGTTTGGAGGAGGAGGAATGCTGCCTATGACCCCAAGAACACCATCCCCACCGTCAAACATGGAGGTGGAAACATTATGCTTTGGGGGTGTTTTTCTGCTAAGGGGACAGGACAACTTCACAGCATCAAAGGGACGATGGACGGCGCCATGTACCGTCAAATCTTGGGTGAGAACCTCCTTCCTTCAGCCAGGGCATTGAAAATGGGTCATGGATGAGTATTCCAGCATGACAATGACCCAAAACACACGGCCACGGCAACAAAGGAATGGCTCAAGTAGAAGCACATTAATGTCCTGGAGTGGCCTAGCCAGTCTCCAGACCTTAATCCCATAGATAATCTGTGGAGGGAGCTGAAGGTTCGAGTTGCCGAACGTCAAAACCTTAATGACTTGGAGAAGATCTGCAAAGAGGAGTGGGACAAAATCCCTCCTGAGATGTGTGCAAACCTGGTGGCCAACTACAAGAAACGTCTGACCTCTGTGATTGCCAACAAGGGTTTTGCCACCAAGTACTAAGTCATGTTTTGCAGAGGGGTCAAATACATATTTCCCTCATTAAAATGCAAATCAATTCATAACATTTTTGACATGCGTTTTTCTGGATTTTTGTTGTTGTTATTCTGTCTCTCACTGTTCAAATAAACCTACCATTAAAAGTATAGACTGATCATGTCTTTGTCAGTGGGCAAACATACAAAATCAGCAGGGGATCAAATACTTTTTTCCCTCACTATAGATTACAGTGCAGCCTTTGATGTTATTGATCATACATTGTTATTGAAGAAACTCAGTTATTTTGGCTTTACATTACCTGCCATCACATGGTTGGAGAGTTATTTATTCAATAGAGCCCAAAGAGAGTTCATGAATGGAAGCTTCAATAACATCAGATATATACAGTGCGGTGTCCCTCGGGGAAGTTTTCTTGGGCCGTATCAGTGTTACTTTTCATGTTTTGTGTTTTTTATGGACCCCATGACGAATAGCTGCCAAAAGCTAATGGGGAATAAATAAAAAAATACACTTCTAATGACTGGCAGCCTGGTGAAGCTGTGTTGTTGCTGAGCAATCGAGTTGCTCCACCCAGTTTTAGAACTCTGAGATTCGGCTGAAAAATATATTCGTATTGTCAGAAATGCTACAAAAAGATAGCACATCATTAGTTCTCTATTGGCACACATAAATTATCAATTGAATCAAAACTGTTGCCCCTAAAAATTCCATCCGAAAGGTGGCAAGTCTAATAGTCACTTTATGGATGCTGTAGTCTCGTTCTTATCCAACGCCTTGATATTGAATTAGGTCGGGGTATTTTTGTTAATGACCCTGTTAAAAATCCGGTATGTGGTTCTCGGAAATGGCCGGATGGCTCATGGCGAGAGGCAGGAAGTGTGTTGTGTACCTACAATCAAGGTGATTTGCACATTTTCATCGACATTGGTGTCATATTGGCATAGATATGAAAGTAGGGATATTTGAATTTAACATTGCGCTTCAACCAAAACCTACTATTGGATAATTTCATAAAGCCTTGCTTTGATGCCTATGTTTTACCCCAACACAGGGGTGTTAAGAACCTACTGGTTTACAGGCCACATCAGGCCTGCAAGTCACATTATGCTGAAGTGCAAAGTGATATGTAATTCCTATTGGAATTCAGCCAGAGTTAGGACATCCAACAGTTTGAATTTGTATTCATCTGCAACCTGCATTCAGGATGACTCTCAGGGTTAGGAATATTGATAAAGGAGACTACCTAAACCATTTAAACTGGAACAACCATTTCAGTAATGGGTGCAATAAATCTAACTAACTGATAGGTGAGTTAATTATCTTTGTGTAGCATAAGATTAATCAATCAATCAATGTACATGCAAAAACAATCCCCAAAAAATCTAGCTGCAGTAGAGCATGCTGGGGAAAATGATAATGATGGCCGTAGTTTTGATGAAAATGTTTTACTCTCCACAGAGTAAACTAGACACAATCACACTCTCACAGTCAACACTGGTTATTAACATTTACATTTACATTTTAGTCATTTAGCAGACGCTCTTATCCAGAGCGACTTACAGGAGCAATTAGGGTTAAGTGCCTTGCTCAAGGGCACATTTACGTCATTTAGCAGACGCTCTTATCCAGAGCGACTCACAAATTGGTGCATTCACCCTATAGCCAGTGGGATTGTTTTGTTTGTTTTATGTTTTAGTCATTTAGCAGACGCTCTTATCCAGAGCGACTTACAGGAGCAATTAGGGTTAAGTACCTTGCTTAAGGGCACATCGACAGATTTTTCACCTAGTCGGCTCGGGGATTAGAACCAGCGACCTTTCGGTTACTGGCACAACGCTCTTACCCACTAAGCTACCTGCCGCTACCTGCCGGGATAACCACTTTACAATTTTTTTTTTGGGGGGGAGGGGGGGGGGACACCAACACCAACACTGTGGTTCTTTTAGAAATGTTACACTGAAAAATCTAAACTGGCCAATTTGCTGTGAGGCTACAGTATATTACATTAACCATATCAATGATTTGAGGCTCACCTGTTTGAGATTGTACTGGCCCCTTCTGTCACAGTTGGGGAAGTTGAGCTCGTACAGATTCTCCAGTGGTTCTCTGTTGTCATGAAAGGTAATCTTGGAGAGCTCCTCCAGCACCTTGTTCAGCTCCAGTTGACAATGTCTCTGAAAAGCACAGACAAAATACTGACTGTTGAACTTACACACATTCAACTCAGCACCATCTAGTACATAAGTGATTGAATTGTATGAAGGGTGCACAGCGTGACAGAGCTGAGGGCTGTGTTCCGCTGGCCTATTTATACTGTACATTAGTATATGACAGCCATCAAAGTGGATCAAAGTGTTGAATTGTCATTTTAGTTGTCCCTCCACAACCCACAACTTACCAGCCCACAGAACTGACTCCCCATTTTTCCTACCCCCGTTTACTGCATTACTATATCTATTGTTGTCTCTAATGGTCTTATCAATGTGTTCCCCCTCGCCTATTTTCTGTTTAGTGGCAATACATAGAGTTAAATGAGGGAGAAGATCTGTGCATGTATATGGTTGTTTCCTAGGTCTGAACACTTATGGCTCTTCTCTGTGGGGCCCGGGGGCCATGCATATTAGCATGCCACATATTTTTGCTTTGAGCAAAGCTCACATGAACCGGACGACAAGGGGTTGTTTGGAAAATGAATGTAGGGCTAACTAGGGCTGTGTTAGTCAACTAATAACAAGGTTGTCCTTGTAAGGCACGTGATCTTGATTGAAGCAAATAAACACTGTTGAATGCAAATGTAACGCAATTCTACTTGGCTCTGATATTTGGCAAATCTGACTATAACTCTATCCTCCTGATTCCTGCTTAGAAGCAAAAACTAAAGCAGGAAGCACCAGTGACCCGGTTAATAAAAAGTGGTCAGATGATGCAGATGCTAAGCTACAGGACTGTTTTGCTAGCACAGACTGGAATATGTTCCGGGATTCTTCAGATAGTATTGAGGAGTACACCACATCACTCACTGGCTTCATCAATAAGTGCATCGGTGACGTCATCCCCACAGTGACTGTACGTACATACCCCAACCAGAAGCCATGGATTACAGGCAACATCCGCACTGAGCTAAAGGGTAGAGCTGCCGCTTTCAAGGAGCGGGACTCTAACCCGGACGCTTATAAGAAATCCCGCTATGCCCTCCGACGAACCATCAAACAGGCAAAGAGACAATACCGGACTAAGATTGAATCGTACTTCACCGGCTCTGACAATCGTCGGATGTGGCAGGGCTTGAAAACTATTACAGACTACAAAAGTAAGCACAGCCGTGAGCTGTCCAGTGACACAAGCCTACCAGACGAGCTAAATCACTTCTATGCTCGCTTCGAGGCAAGCAACACTGACGCATGCATGAGAGCACCAGCTGTTCCGGATGACTATGTGATCACGCTCTCCATAGCCGATGTGACTAAGACTTTTAAGCAGGTCAACATTCACAAGGCCGCAGGGCCAGACGGATAACCAGGACATGTACTCCAAGCATGTGCTGATCAACTGGCAAGTGTCTTCACTGACATTTTCAACATGTCCCTGACTGAGTCTGTAATACCAACATGTTTCAAGCAGACCACCATAGTCCCTGTGCCCAAGGACACTAAGATAACCTGCCTAGATGACTACCGACCCGTAGCACTCACGTCTGTAGCCATGAAGTGCTTTGAAAGGCTGGTCATGGCTCACATCAACACCATTATCCCAGAATCCCTAGACCCACTCCAATTTGCATACCGCCCCAACAGATCCACAGATGATGCAATCTCTATTGCACTCCACACTGCCCTTTCCCACCTGGACAAGAGGAACACACACCTACATGAGAATGCTGTTCATTGACTACAGCTCAGCGTTCAACACCATAGTGCCATCAAAGCTCATCACTAAGCTAAGGATCCTGGGACTAAACACCAAGACAGTCGTGAAGAGGGCATGACAAAGCCTATTCCCCCTCAGGAGACTGAAAAGATTTGGCAGGGTCCTCAGATCGTCAAAAAGTTCTACAGCTGCACCATCGAGAGCATCCTGACTGGTTGCATCACCGCCTGGTATGGCATCTGCTCGGCCTCCGACCGCAAGGCACTACAGAGGGTAGAGCGTACGGCCCAGTACATCACTGGGGCCAAGCTTCCTGCCATCCAGGACCTCTATACCAGGCGTTGTCAGAGGAAGGCCCTCAAAATTGTCAAAGACTCCAGCCACCCTAGTCATAGACTGTTCTCTCTGCTACCGCACGGCAAGCGGTACCGGAGCACCAAGTCTAGGTCAAAAAGGCTTCTCAACAGCATCTACCCCCAAGCCATAAGACTCCTGAACAGCTAATCATTGCTACCCAGACTATTTGCACTGCCCCCCCACCCCTCTTTTACGCTGCTGCTACTCTGTCTATTATTTATGCATAGTCACTTTAACTCTACCCACATGTACATATTACCTCAATTACCTCGACTAGCCAGTGCCCCCGCACATTGACTCTGCACCGGTACCCCCCTATATATAGCCTCCCTACTGTTATTTTATTTTACTGCTGCTCTTTAGTTGTTTGCTTTAAAAAATGTTTACTTAACACTATTCTTTAAAAAATGTATTGTTGGTTAAGGGCTTATAAGTAAGCATTTCACTGTAATGTCTACACCTGTTGTATTCCGCGCATGTGGCAAATAAAATTTGATTTGATTTGATTTGATATTTCTACTTTGGAATAGAAACGGATTAATGGTGAAAATTCTGCCAATATTTGATGGTATTTCGTAAACAGTTATACCAACTGCAGTATTAAAAGAAATAGGGCCAAATGTATAAGAATATTGGCCTCAGTGGTCTATGTAAATAAATAACAATCTGTCAACACATATGAAGATATAAAGATTTTATTGGCATACAAATTAGGTGTGTGTGTGTGTCCGGAAGAAGGCACTGCTGTACCAAATACCAACCAGGGTCACCACTGACCAGCATTCAATCAATTTACACAACAACGTGTTTAGGGAGGCTCTTATAGTACAGTTCTAAAATCTTTTAGTACTTTTTTTACCCCAATTGGTAGTTACAGTCTTGTCCCATCATTGCAACTACTGTACGGATTCAGGAGAGGCGAAGGTTGAGAGCCATGCGTCCTCCGAAGCATGACCCTGCCAAGCCGCACTGCTTCTTGACACACTGCTCGCTTAATCCGGAAGCCAGCCGCACCAATGTGTCAGAGGAAACACTGTACAACTGGCGACCGTGTCAGCATGCATGCGCCCAGCCCGCCACAGAAGCCACTAGAGCGCAATGGGACACGGACATCCCGGCCGGCCAAACCCTTCCCTAACCCGGACGACGCTGGGCCAATTGTACGTTGCCTCATAGGTCTATCGGACACAGTTGGCTGCGACACAGCCAGGGATCGAACCTGGATCTGTAGTGACGTGTGATGCAGTGCCTTAGACCGCTGCGCCACTCGCGAGGCCCTAAGTTTATCCATTGTAAACTATGTAGTGCCATAATACTAATTGCTTATTACGTTTCTGAACTGTATCTCTCGGATAGTGGATGTGAACAAAGATGGCTTTTTATTTATTTTTGGAATGGTTTGTCCTGACCTGAGTGGGCCGCTGGGTCCTAGGTTCTTCAGGACAGTTGTTGGTCTTCATCCTGGTCTTGACCTCGTTCTGGGCCCGCCTCACGGCCTTCTCTTTGGACCACATCCAGAAGCTGGCATCTTTGGTCGGCTTCTTCTGAGGGGGACCCTCAGTGCCCTGCAGCTCCACTATAGGTCATGCACACACACACACACACACACACACACACACACACACACACACACACACACACACACACACACAAAAGACTTAGTGCACTCTTAGAAGAAAGGTGCTATCTAGAACCAAAAAGGGTTCTTCGGCTGTCCCCATAGGAGAACCCTTTGAAGAACCCCTTTTGGTTCCAGTTAGAACCCTTTTGGGTTCCTTGTAGAACTGTTTTCACAGAGGGTTCTACATGGAACCCCAAAAGGGTTCTATCTGAAATCAAAAATGGTTATCCTATTGGGACAGCCACAGAAACATTTTGGAACCTTTTGTTCTAAGAGTGTACATGCCCCGAATACAAACAAGGACATCTGCACATAAAAAGTTTATATGCACCGGAAACTTGTTCCAAACAAAGGGAAAATAATTGCTGAAGATAATGTTCCCTTTATAGACTCTCAGGGTCGACAGAACACACACACACACCCACACATACACATACACACAATCGTTTGCTCTCCTTTAATTAATCCCAAAGGAGCTATCAAGCACTGTGTTTCTGTAAACAATGTGTTGTTATCATTGGAAGACAAAGATTCACATTGGCTCCCTCAAGGCACCATCCTGCTGGTATGTGTCTCACACCCTGATGATGTCACTTATCCTGCTTGGCAGTGAGTCTCAGAAGTGGTCGGGACTATAATCTCATTGGTGACAGTTTGTATGTACCACAGGTTGTAAAAAATGATGAGAGATGGTGCCTAAGGTTGGTTGTGTGGTTAAAGTCAAAGCCCTCAGCACGTACAGTGCCTTCAGAAAGTATCTACACCCCTTCACTTTTTCCAAAAAAAATTGTGTTACAGCCTGAATTTAAAATGTATTACATTTATATTTATTTTGCCACTGGCCTACACACAATACCCCATAATGCCAAAGTGGAATTATGTTTTTAAAATCTATATGAATTATTTAGAAATTAAAAGCTGAAATGTCTTGAGTCAAAAAGTATTCAATGTCTTTATTATGGCAAGCCTAAATAAATTCAGGAGTAAAAATATGCTTAACAAGTCACATAATAAGTTGCATGGACACACTCTTAGTGCAATAATATTGTTTTGAATTTCTACCTCATCTCTGTACCCCAGACATACAATTATCTGTAAGGTCCCTCAGTCGAGCAGTGAATTTCAAACACAGATTCAACCACAAAGACTGAGGTTTTCCAATGCCTTGCAAAGAAGGGCTCCTATTGGCTCCCGATGTCATAAATGCTGTAGGTGGGTGTAGTGGTGGAATCAAGCGCAGGACACCGAAGTATAGTCCAAAAGACTTTAGTGGAATATCCAACAAGGAAAACAGAACAAACTTGCCCGAAGGCGAAACTACGCACGTAGGCAACAAACAAAAGGCGCACTACACAGGTGCGTAAAACGCTCCAACACAGTGGAGTAAAGCTCAACCGAGCGAATAAGGAAATCGACAAGCAAACATACGACAGGAACAATCACACACAAACACAGACACACCCAACGAGACATAAATAGAACACTAATGAGGACTAACTAGCAGGGGTGGTGTGTTCAATAGGGCGATATGGGCGACGCACTGCCAAACGGGAAAAGGAAGGGATTTTTTTTCTAATCAATTATATCACGGCAACAGTAGTTATCAGTGTTGTAATCTAGACGTCTGATCTGCCACAGTGCCACACTGCCACTAAATGTCCAATCAGGCTAAAGTCGTGCTTCAAATGCCCCCCCCCCCCCCCCCCCCCCTTTTGGGGCGATTTCAGTCAGGTTGAAAATCGCCCAGAAGTCTGTCATAGACTCCCATGTAAAATCTATTTTTTTCAAATTTCAGAGCTTTCAATACAATCTCTATGGGTTTCTGAGGGCTTGCACTTACGCGCTTTCGTCATACGTAACGTAACCATGAACGTAACTAAGAAAAGAGCGGGTAGCAGCATCAATCAATTCACGTACTACTATCAAGATGGCTATAGCGTTCAGTGCAACTCGATTGTCTCTTTGAAAGAAGTTCACATCAAAGAGACAACCACAAAGTGCAGGAGCGCTTTTTTGAGTTCCTTCCCATCTCGGAATCAACCTCAGTCTCAATCGCCAGTGTGCTTTTGGAGAGACTGAACGGTCTTTTTGCCAACGACGTGAAAGTCAAACTCATTGCGCAAGCTTACGATGGAGCCAGTGTGATGAGGCGAGAGAAGGCAAAAGGTGCGTGAGCATTTCAAGAAAGGCCATTACGTGCATTGCTATGCGCATCAGCTGAATTTGATCATGCAGCAAGCTAAAAAGTAACTAGTAAACTAGTCCTCAGCATGCCTGATTTCAATGAGAAAGTCATTGACCGCTTTGCTGCATTGAAAGAGAGAAGAGAACAGTTTCAGTACAAGTAATGTAGCCTCTCTCTCTCTTTGTCCCTCCCTGTCTGTCTCTTTAACACACACACGCCCAAATCAGTTCACAGTTGATGTTGTTTAAAATAGTTATTTTTCATTTTAAAAAAAGTAAACAATTTTTTTTACAAATCTATACAATTGGCCAGAATATGGTTGTTCATATTTACAAAGCCATACAGATAGCTGTGTTTACCTTTTCTAGAAATTATTTTCAAATTCTGTTTTCAGGCAAAATGTCTATCACTGTTCATTTTCACAAATCTATACAAGAGGGCAGAATATGGAAGTCTATAAAAATTTCTTATTACCAATAACTTGCATCAATGTTTTCAGTAGCCTCTATCAAAAGCTCCTGCTTGCTCAGGTGCACATATTTCCAATTCAACCATGAGGCCTTTTTGAAGCAAGTAATGTGTATATCAGTATTGACTTATATGCTGCCCCTGTCTTCATGTTGTTGCTGGACATATCTTTTTTAAAATGTGTGTAGGTCACCTAAATCATCAGAAAAATTGCCCCCCCCTGAGAATTTTTTCAGGAGCCGCCACTGCTAACTAGACACAGGTGTACAACATCAAGACCAAACCAAACGAACATGAAACATAGATCGGTGGCAGCTAGTACTCCGGGGACGACGACCGCCGATGCCTGCCCGAACCAGGAGGAGGAGCAGCCTCGGCCGAAACCGTGACACCCGAGTAGCGCATCGGTCTAAGGCACTGCATCTCAGTGCTTGAGGTGTCACTACAGACCCCCTAGTTCAAGTCCAGGCTGTATCACAACCGGCTGTGATTGGGAGTCCCATAGGGTGGCGCACAATAATATTGTGTAGTAAATACTTACCTACTACTTACTCCACAATATTAACCTAAATGAAATAGTGAAAAGAAAGAAGCCTGTACAGAATATAAATATTCCAAAACATCTGCATCCTGTTTGCAATAAGGCATTTAAGTAAAACTGCAAAACTTTATGTCCTGAATACAAAGTGTTATTTTTGGGGCACATCCAACTCCACACATCACTGAGTATCACTCTTCATATTTTCAAGCATTTACATTTACATTTTAGTCGACGCTCTTATCCAGAGCGACTTACAGGAGCAATTAGGGTTAAGTGCCTTGCTCAAGGGCACATCGACAGATTTTTCACCTAGTCGGCTAGGGGATTAGAACCAGCGACCTTTCGGTTACTGGCACAACGCTCTTAACCACTAAGCTACCTGTGGTAGCTGCATCATGCTATGGGCATGCTTGTCATCGGCAAGGACTAGGGAGTTTTTTTATTTATAAGAAATAAATGGAATAGAGCTAAGCACAGGCAAAATCCTAGAGGAAAACCTGGTTCAGTCTGCTTTCCAATAGACAATAGCCTCCTGAGTGGCGCAGTGGTCTAAGGCACTGCATCGCAGTGCTAACTGTGCCACTAGAGATCCTGGTTCGAATCCAGGCTCTGTCGCAGCCGGCCTTGACCTGGAGACTCATGGGCGCTGCACAATTGGCCCAGGGTAGGGGAGGGAATGGCCGGCAGGGATGTAGCTCAGTTGATAGAGCATGGCGTTTGCAACGCCAGGGTTGTGGGTTCGATTCCCACGGGGGGCCAGTATAAAAAATTAAAATATATGTATTCACTAACTGTAAGTCGTATTCACCTTTCAGCAGGACAATAACCTAAAACACAAAGCCAAATATACACTGTAGTTGCTTACCAAGATGACATTGAATGTTCCTGAGTGGCCTAGTTACAGTTTTGAATTAAATACATTGAAAATCTATGGCAAGACTTAAAAATGGATGTCTAGCAATGATCAACAACCAACTTGACAGAGCTTGAAGAATTAAAAAAATAGTAATGTGCAAATATAGTACAATCCAGGTGTGCAAAGCTCTTAGCAATTTACCCACAAAGACTCACAGCTGTAATCACTGCCAAAGGTGATTCTAACATGTATTGAGTCAGGGGTGTGAATACTTATGTAAATTAGACATTTCTGTATTTAATTTTCACAAAAGTTGCTAACATTTCTAAAAACACGTTTTCACTTTGTCATTATGTGGTATTGTGTGTAGATGGGTGAGAAAAAAACATATATTTAATCAATTTTGAATTCAGTCTGTAACACAACAAAATGTGTAATAAGTCAAGAGGTATGAAAACTTTATGAAGGCACTGTATACGAGCCTCTAGCTGAGATTGAATCCCGGTCCCACCTGTCTTTTACACTGTTTCCCTTCAATCTGTAAAAATAATAATAATAATAATAATATGGTGGTGAATGAAGTTGTACCCAAGTGCTTAATCTATGTTTGGTCCACCTGAAGTTTTATAATCTTTGGCAAAGCGTTATCTGTACTACCATTTCCACATGATCAAGCTGTGCCATGCTGTCCCAGTTCTTTCACACTACCCTTTTGCAGCATCGCTCGGTTCACTAAAATCAGGCTGAATTGGGCCAACAATAGATACGGGGTTCAGGAGGGCTCAGAATTACAAAACGTCTCCATTCTGATATTGTTTCACTCATTTCCTAATCACTCAGTTTTGAAACACAGAAACTCTGTTTATAACTCAGCTGCATTTTGCTATTCTTATAGAGAACACTGGTGCAGAATTGTTGACTACGGAGCAGAACATTACTCCCTGTCATGGAATGTGAGCACAGAATAGTACGGGAAGCGAGCACGGAATAGTATGGAAGCACTTTTAGCCTGGTTTTCTTGCTGAGTAAGGACTTTCTGCCTGCCTTCTCAGGGGAGGTGAACTACCTCCTGGGGGCACTGTGTGAGCGTGTGTTTGTGCGTGTGTCTGTGTGTGTGTCTCACTGCACTAACTGTTATCTGTAATTAGGGAGGCACAAACAGAGGAGTGCAGCTCTGAGACAGTAAACCACTCCCAGGAGGGAGAACAACCCGATGACTTGGACAAGCGAATTAGTCGCTGTAGTGCCGTGAGTGTCCCAGAGAGAGAGAGAGAGATAGAGAGAGAGAAGAGAAGAGAGAGAGAGAGAGAGAGAGAGAGCGAGAGATGAAGAGAGAGGGGAAGAGAGAGTAGAGGATTGAGAGGATAGAGAGCTCCGAGAGAAGACTATCGATCGAGCGCGCGCCTAGAGCGAGAGAGAGCGACATGCTTTGAGCTCGCTCTCAGACGAGCGCTCGTCTAGAGGCTTCTCTCTCTCGATAGAAGAGTGAATTCTATTCAGAAGAAATATACACGTTTCAGCCAACAACCGTCAGCTTGTTAGTTTCACTTTGAAACACTAGTGTTGATCCCATCTTGGCAGCATAGCAACTGCATGTTACCTTTAGAAAGTTGTCTGAACCTTGCTTTGAGAATGCTATTGAACATGCTTTCACAGCTGTCCGAGTTATTGATATACAGTATTTACAATGTCACTTAAAATTGTACCGTTTTTTTGGACATTGGTTGTCATTTACAGTAGAACTGTGCTCAAAATGTGGTAAATAGGTTCCAAATCACACCTTTCTCTTCTGCCAAGATAATGGCCATACTTTGTGACGGTTCCTTCCACTTGAGGCTAAACCCCTTCAAACAAGTTCAGTTGGCAAACAGATACAGTCAAGTAATTGTGTAGGTTTTGTCGAACCAGGGAGCCCATAAATTTGACGGTTTGCTTCTTCTTCCAACTCAAGTTCTCTGCTTCCAAAAGGCCTGAGGTCTAGTCTTGTGTTTGATGACTTAGCACTTATTCCAAAAGGAATTACAGTCAAAAGTGTGTCATATCAGTCAACCTCCATAGACTTTGTGTCAGTTGCAATGTGTCTAACTTATGCTAAAAAGCTAGCAACAATTCACAAGTAGAGATACAAAGAGTCCCAAAATTCTCCTCATGGAATAGTAATGATCGGCCTAACATCGTTCCCAGGCTAATTGCGCATATAAGCCGGGAACACCAACGACTCAAATCTGGCCTTTGTGGTAGTGAACTTAAAGGGGGTCTGAACTGATTTCACCTGGGTTTTTCTCCTCCTCAATAAAAACTAGATTTGCTTCTTGAGGGTGTGGTTTGATGTGTAGGTGTTATGTTCAATATATCGTACCCCGGCAGTTATTATTGTTTGTTCCTCTTCCCTCACCGTAGTTGATTTATCCCAAACCCCAAACATCCTGCGCCACCATGCTATCTATGACTTTGGCTAAAGGAATGACAGTTGTGTTTGTGATGCTAATGTTAACTCACGAATGTGTGGATGTTTGAGTTGGGGGAAAAAACAAGCCGTTAATAAAGAACAAGTCTCGTTCTTTCAACATAACATTGGCGATGATGTATTGTAGCTATGTCTTGTTCGTTGTCTCATTGGGTGTTCTACTGTCTGTAAAGATATGGGCGTGCTATAGGTTGATTCTGCTGCTACTATTGGATAGCATGCAGCTGTTCTCAGATGATTTGGGTGCTGCCAGGCAGTGGTCCCACGTTAGTGTGAATGTGGTCAGGACTGAAATCTAAACCCAACCCAAGACAACATTTTAAATCATTTTTTCCATAAATCTCACAAACCTCAGTTTTGGAAAATACTGACATTATAAATTATCCAACATACACTTTTTTTTGTCAATTTTGGGACAATTGATGTTTACGACTACTATCAATGCCACATGGAATGTTTTTAACTAGATAAGTAGTTTTGTTTTTGGTTCAGCTCCTCTTTAAGTATTTGTCATTATTTGATCTTAGCGAATCATACGACTGCAAGGCATGGTTCTGAATCAGAAACATGTTGTGTGCTAGCAAAAACATTCCCCCGAGCTTGAGAGGCTGAACTGTAGCTAGCTACCTACCTTTTATCTCTAGCTAACTTAACCCAAGGAGTGCCACCATAACACCAGCACGTTTTGGACTTCTAACCCCTTTTAAACATTGTGTGTTTGAGCTACACTTCTGGGTTGTACAACTGGATTAGTCTATTTCTTCTGAATCAGTAGATACCAACCATTAGTCTGTGTGATTAACAGGGGCTGAGCTAAAGCGGTGTTTGTGAGACAAGGGCGGATCCCACAAAAAAAATACATCTGTGGAGTCCAATGGTTTGAGCTACAAACTATTAAAAGCTATCTATGAAAAGCTGAGACTCTCACGAACACACACATGTAACATGTCTATGAAGCTCACAACCTACACAAGAGTCTTTAGAAGGAAAGGGGTTCTTCTACATAGAAGATCATGGACATGGTGGCTCTAATACTGTAATAAGTTTACATAGTTGCTGTCACAAACTCCAAACTCCACACAGTTGTCACTGGCTAGCTGGATATTTATTTCCCATCCAGCCAACAATTTCTGTACTTACAGCATTCATATACATTTTGCTATGGCGCACTTTATTTTATTTATTGACATTTGTCAATAAAACTCATGTATGCAACTGTTTATGTCAAATTGTTTTGTGTTCTACTTGTATCTCTGGTTGTCCTGAAAATAACATGGTAAAACACTTCATTGTGAGGTTAAATATAAGGGCAGGACATGCAGATAAATGAAATTCAGATTTTTGCTGGGGTCTTGGGACTGATAGGGGGAATTTAGAAGCCTTGCTGGCTATACATCATCCAAATCTGTGATCAATATGCGTTGTGCTTGTTGGGAAAACCAACAACCCACAAAAAATGACAGAATGGACTCAAACAGCTAGCTACATTTGATTAAATCTCCATGTTGCATCAGACGAGCGCAGACAGGGCGAATATAAACAGACGTACACAAGACGGGGGAGGTGTTGTGGGAGATTAAAGTATTCACAATCCTGGACTTTTTCCAAAAATGTTGTGCTACAGCCTGAATTTCAAATTGATTAAATGTAGATTTTGTGTCACTGGCCTACACACAATGCCCCATAATGTCAAAGTATAATTATGTTTTTAGAAATGATTTAAAAATGAAAAAATGAAATGTCTTGAGGGCAAATCCAACACAACACATCACTGAGTACCACTCTTCATATTTTCAAGCATGGTGGTGGCTGCATCATGTTATGGGTATGCTTGTCATCGGCAAAGGAGATTTTTTGAAAAAAAGAAATGGAATAGAGCTAAACACAGGCAAAATCCTAGAGGAAAACCTGGTTCAGTCTGTTTTCCAGCAGCTTACCAAGATGACATTGAAAGTTCCTGAGTGGGCTAGTTACAGTTTGGACTTAAATCGGCTTGAAAATCTATGGCAAGAATTGAAAATGGCTGTCTAACAATAATCAACAAACAACAATCAACTTGACAGAGCTTGAATACTTTATTTTAATAATAATGTGCAAATATTGTACAATCCAGGTGTGCAAAGCTCTTAGAGACTTACCCAGAAAGACTCACAGCTCTAATTGCTGCCAAAGGTGAGTCTAACATGTATTGACTCAGAGGTGTGAATAATTATGTAAATTAGATATTTCTGTATTTCAATTTCATGAAATTAGCAACAATTTACAAAAACATGTTTTCACTTTGTCATTATGGGTTATTGTCTGTAGATGGATGAGAAAAATAACAATTTTGAATCCATTTTGAATTCAGGCTGTAACACAACAACATTTGGAATAAGTCAAGCGGTTTGAATACTTTCTGAAAGCACTGTCCATGTAGTTCAAGTAGTAATTACATTTTGCAGTAGTTTGTGTAAGGGTGGAGTATGCAATAATGTCCTTTCTTTTTCAACATCAGACCTGCCGAATTCTCACCTGAAAATAGTTTTTGTGTTTAATAGGATAAATTACACATTCTGTTAACATCTGACTCCAGAGTGATATGTCTTGCAATTTGTAGTCTATGACATTTCAAATTTATATATGATAATTTATCAAGAAGTTCTAAGTGCACAACAATGCTTAAACCACATCAGGGGACCATTTTTGAAGTCTGGGAAAAGAGAGAGATTTAGATTTTTTACTGTAGTTACCCTTTAATTCAGGTGTGCACCAGCCAGACAGTTGTGTTTGGCTAGTGGTGTCTCTGTGGCACACTTCTGATGGAGTTTTCAAAACAATGGCCATTGGATTGATGGAAATAGTCATGATTCTACCAGGTAGGCATATGCTACTTTGTAGTTACATTTTAATTGCCTTTTCATCTACCCGAAGACAGTTAGGCTGTCTTTAGCATCGCTAACGGATACACAAAGTGGTAGACATATAGGCCCTACTCGCACCGCACACAGCAGGGCTCGACATTCAGGTAAATTTGCCAGTGGCACACCGGGCTAGTGCCACCTGAAAGCTACTGGCCCAAATGAAAAAAATACTCTCCCGGGTCAAGATCTGACAGGAAAGCGAATGATGCGTGCATCATTTCAATAGCAGGTGATTTTAGCTTTCATTTGTGGGCTGAGCAAGTAGCCTATACAGCAGGGCTGCCCAACCCTCTTCCTGGAGAGCTACTGTCCTGTAGGTTTTCAGCCCAAGCCCAATTTAGCGTATCTGATTCAGATAGTTAAGGTATTGTTGAGCAGCTAATAAGTATAATCAGGTGTGTTAAATTAGGGTTGGACTGAAAACCCACAGGATGGTAGATCTCCAGGAAGAGGGTTGGGCAGCCCTACTATACAGGGTTCATACAAACATTGGCAAGTCAAATTAAAGGACTTTCAATGACTTTTTCAAGCACTTAATTGTAATTTCTAAGGACCTACATTTTATATTTAATTGTTGTAATAGCCTATTGAAGAAAAGAAAGTCCCCCCCAAATGTATGCAAAAAAGTATGCATTACCACTAAGAATAATTACTTTTTTTAAATATACCTACCCAATGGTATTATGCATTGACATTAACTTTATTTTTACATTCTAAAATATGTCTGAATAATGTGGGCATTGTCTGACTAAATAGACAGCATGTTCCCTACACAAACACACTAATGAAGTGTCCATGTGGTAGCTAGTCAGTCTTGCCATTTGAGATGTTGAAGAGTTATTGAGGTGTTATTGTATCATGTTATAAAGCGAGAAAGTGACCAAAAAACGGGTTCCCTTTGTAATGGAATACTCTATATGGAAAACCAAGTTGAAGCCAACATTCGATGTTGTCTTGCTCATAATAGCCACACCTGGTTTTACCACAACAAGCGCAACAGACTAGCGCAACACCCCTAAATTGAAATGGCGGGAAACAAACGAAAGCAGCTACATCTCTTATAAAAACTGATCAGAAATGAAATCACAGAATAATTATATTGGAGCAATAGAAGTTCTAAGTCATAGAGGCAATGCCTGATTTTCAAGGTAGGCTATTCCATGATGACTGAATTGTGCATCGCCAGTATTCATTGTGCATCACCAGTAATACCTGGTTTGCATACCCATTCTTGCCTTAGCATTTGCTGGTAGATATCATAACTTGGAACATCTTTCCTACTGCTTTCCTACACGCAACAACCAGCTGTTTGAGAGCTGCATGCTCTCTCTGATTATCTATAGGCTGTATGTGTGCAGCACGCATGTGATAGATAATCAACTTAACAAACAAACAGCTTCGGGAATCAATCAGTTTTTTTTATCAATTATATAGCCTAGATAAAAAATAACATTATTTCAATGTACTGTATTTACTGGCCAAAGCGGGCCACTGACGGGGATGATCGACTGCCCTGGAGGGTTTCCACAACCTTCCCTCTATGTTGGTTTTGTCCTGACACACACAGACAGGGGCATTCTCTTGCCTTTGTTGCCTCTTCAGAAAGTTGGTTTACTTTTGGTCAATTGCACACAATCATGATGATAAAAAAAGCCAAGTCAAACAGTCGCAAATGCGACCCTATAATGAAAAAAATACCAAAGATTGTTTTCCTTTAAGGGTAGCTTTAGTGTAGCTTAACTTCTTCCAGTGTGAAGTCATTGGTAGCTTGGCAAACTACATTTTCAGAGTAGCTTCCCCAACACTGCTAATGGCTATGCATTTGGACATTCTCCCTGACTTTCTATTTTCATATGGACTTTTTCCAGAACTTCCCACTGGGCTAACGAAGGCTATGTTTGAAGCTTTGGTCTACCAGACCTTCTGAGCATTGGGAGGAAGTCTTGTGAATAAGGTTATGATGTGCCTAACTTGGCTAACTTATGCTAACAAGTTGCTATACTGTTGCGAGGTCTGCCTTTATAACATTTTTGATTCGTTTGGAAATTGACCTTTTTCAACTATTCTCCATCACGTTTTGACCTCTAAAAGGCTCCGAATTCTCAGAGTTCTCCAGGCCCATAACTTTTCCATTCAGAACAGGTTCAATCTAATGCTAATGAGTTTCCATAAAGGAGAACATCAGCTGATTACCTTCATGGAAAAGGGAGTCAAGGAATCCCTATTCTCCTGAGGGGAGCCTCTTTAGGGTCACAGGTACTAACATGCAGTTCCCACCCAGAGCACTCCCTCCCTCTCTATCTTTACAGATGTTAGATCTTAATGTGATAACCCTGTTGTTGCAGGAAATGCAAACCTTTAGTGTTTTGGAGGTTTAAAAAGGCTTCTAAAGTTTGTAATTTTCACTTTAAAATGTCAGACTTGATTTGCCCTTACAGAAATGTTCATTAATTATAATCCACACAATAATTCACATGATTTTCCTGCTGTGAGAAATGGGTCAAATTAAGACCCCCCCCCCCCCCCCCCCCCCTCTCTCTCTCTCTCTCTCTCTCTCTCTCTCTCTCTCTCTCTCTCTCTCTCTCTCTCTCTCTCTCTCTCTCTCTCACACACACACACATACACACACACACACACACACACAAAAGCACACACATGCAGTAATTAAACACCTGTAGGGGTGTGAGCACACCAAGTCTGAGCACACCATTACCTGCAGGGCTACAAGGACAATCCCAGTCCACAGACAACACACAGAGAGAAGGAGGAGAAAGAGACGAAGTAGGAGACAATAAAAAGGAAAAAAGTTGTAACAGACCTATGGTCAGATATCAAATCATGGTGAGTCAACAAAAACATGGAGTTGTTTGCAATCAAACTGCAAAGACAGTCACTATTAGCTCTTCCCAATCTGGGAATCTTTTTGTGTCAGAAACCAGTGTTTTTGAGAGACTGAATGCAGTTGAAGCCTATGCAATGTGTGCTCAGTCAGATGAGGACAAAGGTTCAAACATCCACCCAAGTCCAGAATCCCTTGAAAATGATGAGTTAATCCAATGAGTCAAGAGTGTACTCTAAGAGTGTACATAAGCTCCTGAGTGGCGCAGTGGTCTAAGGCACTGCATCGCAGTGCTAACTGTGCCACTAGATCCTGGTTCGAATCCAGGCTCTGTCGCAGCCGGCCGCGACCGGGAGACTCATGGGCGGCGCACAATTGGCCCAGCGTCGTCCAGGGTAGGGGAGGGAATGGCCGGCAGGGATGTAGCTCAGTTGATAGAGCATGGCGTTTGCAACGCCAGGGTTGTGGGTTCAATTCCCACGGGGGGCCAGTATAAAAAAAAAAAAAAAAAAAAAATGTATTCACTAACTGTAAGTCGCTCTGGATAAGAGCGTCTGCTAAATGACTTAAATGTAAATGTAAAAATGTATGTACTCTGAGGTTTATTGTGGGACGAAAGCACATGGAGCATGAGTTCATACAGCTTTTCACATTGCTCCAGGATGTGATGCCATTCCAATAACAGCAACAGTTATCAAACAAACACACGATGGAGGGAGGGAGATGGATGGAGGGCGAAGGGGGGAGCTATGTGTGGGAATATGACATGCTACCTAATTAAAGATAATTTAGAGAGCCCCAAGCTTACAAGACACCTGGCACCTGATAGTGCCTCTTTTACACTTGACTCATGAAATGGAAATCTGATGTGAAGGGGATGCTGTATGTGAGATGACACTGAGTTACTGTCGGCAGCATTAACCTGTGATCTGGGCACTAAAAAAGTGGGGAAATTGTCATTGATGTACTTTTTGTTTAAAAAACCCAGAGAAATTGGGTCAGCCAAACATGGTTAGCAGTTCGACAAAAAGAGATTAGCTTGTTTGTCCTCAAAGATCAATAGCATTTGGATCTACCAGTTAGTCCAAACACACCACGAATGTCAACATTCATTCCCAGAAATCAATAATGACCTATTTGAACACATTCTTGTTATTTTTAAATACGTTTTGCCACTGACCAGGTGCCATTTACACCTAATAAGGGGACATCTTGGGGTACAGATAATGGGAACAGATAAAGAAGCAATAGATCTCCAGTATACCAGCCTATGACATTCAGCAGATGCCATGCACTTCAATATTGTGGACTCCTTTGTGGCCGGATAAAGATATGTATAACACAGAATACTTGTTACCCTACATTAATGATAACCTTCTCTTAGCGACAGTCAAGTTACTTACCACTCGGGTCATGGTGCTCTTGAGTGAGGTTGGGTACCGGGTCCACTTTGTGTGAGCATCGTCCTAACCCCTGAACCAGCTGCTCCAAGGGCCGTTCTGAATCTGCAGTGGGATAACAACGCAGCCCTGTGGAACACCTTGGTGTGTAGACACCACAGAATTCACCTTCTAACCGGGAACACACTGGGCAGCAGCCACAGCTGGGCTCCCTGACTATCTCAGTACAGGTGGTGGCAAGCTTAGGACATGCAGCTTGGCGCTCCTCAGCGCAGTTCGGACAACGGAATACCAAGTCCCCTAGCAATAGGCCCGGCAGAGCAAGGAACGTAAGCAGCAGCAAACTGCAGCCATAATATAGCACCATTCTGCCTCTAGCTGTACTGTCTAATAAAGGGTAACATGAGTAGATAAGGATGTAAACTCTGGGTCCAAAAGTGGAACTGTCAACTGTATTAGCATAGCAAACAAGTAAGAGACCGAGTGGTGCAATCTGCAGGGTCCTATCAACTGTCATGTTTCTGATATTGTATGTCAAAAGGCAGGTAACTAACTACAGTCATGGTCAAAAGTTTTGAGAATGACACAAGTATTGGTCTTCACAAAGTTTGCAGCTTCAGTGTTTTTAGATATTTTTGTCAGATGTTACTATGGTATACTGAAGTATAATTACAAGCATTCCATAAGTGTCAAAGGCTTTTATTGTCAATTACATTAAGTTTATGCAAGGGTCAATATTTGCAGTATTAACCCTTCTTTTTCAAGACCTCTGCAATCTGCCCTGGCATGCTGTCAATTAACTTTTGGGCCACATCCTGACTGATGGCAGCCCATTCTTGCATAATCAATGCTTGGAGTTTGTCAGACTTTGTGGGTTTTTGGCCATGGACCCAAAATTTCGATGTTTTGTTCCCCGAGCCACTTAGTTATCACTTTTGCCTTATGGCAAGGTGCTCCATCATGCTGGAAAAGGCATTGTTCTTGGATGGTTGGGAGAAGTTGCAATCGGAGGATGTGTTGGTACCATTCTTTATTCATGGCTGTGTTCTTAGGCAAAATTGTGAGTGAGCCCACTCCCTTGGCTGAGAAGCAACCCCACACATGAATGGTCTCAGGATGCTTTACTTTTGGCATGACACAGGACTGATGGTAGCGCTCACCTTGTCTTCTCCGGACAAGCTTTTTTACGGATGCCCCAAACAATCGGAAAGGGGATTCATCAGAGAAAATGACTTTACCTCAGTCCTCAGCAGTCCAATCCCTGTACCTTTTGCAGAATATCAGTCTGTCCCTGATGTTTTTCCTGGAGAGAAGTGGCTTCCTCGCTGCCCTTCTTGACACCAGGCCATCCTCCAAAAGTCTTCGCCTCACTGTGCGTGCAGATACACTCACACCTGCCTGCTGCCATTCCTGAGCAAGCTCTGCACTGGTGGTGCCCCGATCCCGCAGCTGAACCAACTTTAGGAGACGGTCCTGGCGCTTGCTGGACTTTCTTGGGCGCCTTGAAGCCTTCTTCACAGCAATTGAACCTCTCTCCTTGAAGTTATTGATGATCCGATAAATTGTTTATTTAGGTGCAATCTTGCTAGCAGCAATATCCTTGCCTGTGAAGCCCTTTTTGTGCAAAGCAATGATGACGGCACGTGTTTCCTTGCAGGTAACCATGGTTAACAGAGGAAGAACAATGATTTCAAGCACCACCCTCCTTTTAAAGCTTCCAGTCTGTTATTCTACCTCAATCAGCCTGACAGAGTGATCTCTAGCCTTGTCCTCGTCAACACTCTCACCTGTGTTAACGAGAGAATCACTGAAATGATGTCAGCTGGTCCTTTTGTGGCAGGGCTGAAATGCAGTGGAAATGTTTTTTGGGGATTAAGTTCATTTTCATGGCAAAGAGGGACTTTGCAATTAATTGCAATTCATCTGATCACTCTTCATAACATTCTTGAGTATATGCAAATTGCCATCATAAAAACTGAGGAAGCAGACTTTATGAAAATTAATATTTGTGTAATTCTCAAAACTTTTGACCACGACTGTACATGTAGCTTGTAGTGAGTTGTCTTTTGCATAACCTTAGTGTGCAATGGATAACGAATTATAGAAGGAACAAATTATAAAATGTCAATGTTTGAATAAATATGTGCATGTGTTTGAATATCCATGCTTCTACTATAGCAAAAGCTTGCTTTGTGCTTTCTAATGATATTATCTCTACTACGAACATTTTATATATTAACTTAGGCTGCATTGCTGTCTCGAGTGAAAAAGGATCCTAGGCATTAATACATCCGATTGAGCCATAATGTCAAGATCATATTTGCTCTTCATGAGAGTATGTTTAAACGACAAGCAGCAGAGCAGAGAAACAGAACTTTCCAGGGTAATATTACAGCGTGTGCTGAGTGTCTCTGACATGACCACTCCATTTCTCGCATGTCCATTTACACTCAATTAAAGCTGTCCCTTGGACCGAAATGGATCTCCCTCCCCCATACGTCCAATTGATGTATTGGTAGCGAGTAGGGGTTGTTGTGCTTATCCAGCAAGCAGGCTTCTGTAAACTCATACAGGGTATCTGTGTCTCTTGGCCACTGCGGAGAGCAATGCTTGTTGACTCAAGGGGTCGAAAGATAGCACGGCCACTGTAGGAGCATACCCTGCAGAGGCCTAGGTTAGCAGATATGAATTAAGCTTATTTGTCTTTGTGGGTGCCTTCTTACTTTATAGCATGTATGTATATATACTGTACAGTATATGGTCAGCGAGTTGCCTACCTGGAATTAATCGCAGAGGGTAGAGGAGGAAGCTGAAAGGCTAGTTTGGATAGAGATTTCTATTTATGTAGAGCCTTTCACCACTTATTAAAAATAACTTTTCAACACACAGTCCATTAATTACAGTTGATGACTACCCTACCATGGGATTCATAATATGAGACAGATATGAGATCTCTCAAACACCTATGAAACTAAATGTAATTTCCCATGAAGCTGGGAGCCAATGATACGTTATCATTTGAGGGCTCAAATAATCAATTGAGGGCTGGGTTTACGCCATTTGTTATAATTAAGTCATTGACCATATTTTTGTAGACAGGTATGACTCTATGGTTAAATTATGATCACGACTGAGGATAGCCATATCATTTTTGCAGGATGGCACACTGGGCGACCGGGTGAGAGGGAGAACACTAGTGTACCTTTTCCAGTTGACATACTTTTCCACACTTAAACACCCTTCCTACGTCTGACCCGGAGTGGACACTGGGATTTCCGGCCTACAGCATAGCCTTGCCTGTCATGCCTCTGTGTGCCGCGCCATGGGACCACCAGCCTGGGAGGCCTCCACTGTGCCCGGCATGTGAGGTAATGTCTGTCTGTCCATCCATTCTCTCGTCACCTTGTCTGTCCTTCCCTACCCTAACACCCAGCAGCCACTGTGGATCAGACCTGGGTTCAAATAGTATTTGTTTTCTTTCAAATATTTGCGTCTGATTGAGTCTCCCTGGAGTGCAGTTGGGCAGGATCTACCTTTTTGGGACTATTCCGTACATTGGTTCCATTGTGCCAGGCAAGATCAATCAAGTAAAGTATTTCAAAAGAAAACATAATTTGAACCCAGGTCTGCCATGGATATGCTGTCTTGGCTGTGGTTACTCTTTTGGCGCATTCACACTGCACTTTAGCCCAGGGCTAAGAGCCACCTTAGCCCTGGGCTAAAGGATATTTTAGCCTGGGACTAAGCAAGTGTTCACACTTGCACATTCTGAAGTGGGCTAGCACCAACCTTAGCCCAGGGCTAGCTGGTATGCTCCGGAGCATGGTTAGCACTGACTTTTCGCGGCTAGTCCCAGAAACTCTGTGCCAAAATAGCCAGTGTGAAAGGGGGTCAAGAACAACGCCTAGAATGCTCAGTGTCCAATCAGAAAATTGGCACTTTCACTTAATTTACATATGTTGGTGATGCCTGTAACTCGTTCTGCATGTTATTTTGACAAGTAAATTCATACTATTTAACAAAAAACAAAATACTTTCATCCGTGCAAAAACATTGGTTGCTATGCCTATCAAAAAAATAGTTGCTATGCAGGCTGGCTAACATCTTCTCAATTAGTCAACTAAAGCTACAAACTTTTCAGCTGGAAGGACAGCAAACGCTCCATTATCCTCAGTTTTCATAGCTTTTCTATTGACAGTTAATTGCAAATATTTATGATAATAATATTGTTGCATGATTTCACCTGGATCAGAAAAGTTGATGTCTCGTTTGTTCACAGCTTTCTCTGTACAGAGGCAAGATCAAATTTTGGAACATTGTTTCCGATGTCGGGCCGGCAGACAAGCAAGGTTTATACAAACCATCACTGTTGGAAATCAAATGTTAGGCCAGAACCAAGATAAAATAATGTGTTAATAAATGTCTTGCTTATAACATTGGTTGCGTGTCAGAGATGGTTGCATGGTGTGTTTGTCCGTTAGCCCAGGGCTTTGGAATACAAGTGTGTATCCTTAGCCAAAGGCCAAAGCTTAGCCCAGGGTTAACAAATGCTTGTGTGAACCGGATATGCTATCACAGGGCCAGTTTAGCCTGGGGCTAAGATAGCCCAGGGCTAATAACAATGCAGCGTGAAAAGGCCTATTATAGGAACAATTCGGAATCACTAAATGTGCATTGTGTAATGGGTTATTATATTTTGTATGCACATGGACAGAAGATACTTCCAGGAAGTTCTGCAGTAATAACCTCAGTGTAGAAATTCTCCTCAGGCACAGCTATAGAATAAGCTTCTACCCTCCCCAATAGCTTACCCTAACCATTAGACAGGGAAACTCAAAACTAGGGGTAATTTCATATACATAAACAGAGTGCTACAGCAGTCCCAGTGCTGGCCTGTGGATATCCAATGACTGTGTCTGTACTCACTGTCAGGGTCATTTTGTCATTACCACATTCTTTCCACCCCTGAGTCATCTAATTAAGCATGACAAGCCCCAATGTGCACAGGCAAGTTCAATGACAGATGGGTAAAACATTTACCAAGGTCTCTATTCAATCTGTAAAGCTGATGCATTACAGATTCCACGATAGAAATGTGAATGTAATTTCCAACTGAGCTGACATATGCAGCGTTTACCGTGAATGCAGTCTCCGCTAACGCGGGAACATTGCCTTTAAGTCTTGCCCAAGTCTTTTTTTGTTGCCGATTCACACGCTGCATAGATTGTCAGGCCCCTGACCCATCCAGTGTACACATTTCTCGGTCCTCTAATTTTCCACAAATAACACAGCCAATTTGTTTGATGTCACTGAACTGTGGCCATTAGGGGGATTTTGAACTATGACCTGACCCATGGCGATCCTGCC